ACACACACACACACACACACACACACACACACACACACACACACACAGCCCAGCATATGGGCAAGCGGAGCAGCCAGAGGGAGTGCAGCAGCTGGCCTCGTGGAGTGTCATCCTATCCCGTTTCTATTCCAGCCCATTTTTGGACCCTCAGCACATTCCTCTTAGAAGCTGCCACCAATGAGTGAAATATTACCCAGTACCCCTATAGCAATGCACTTTTATCACTCACACTATGCAGGAGTGAGAAAAAGTGTTCACTTGACTGTATTTAAAAAGTGTAATTGAAAAGCAATAAAACTCCCGACACGGGGTCAGAGAGGCAATGTACGTTCACCCCCCCCCCCCCCAAAACAATGCAGGACCTATAGCCCCCCCGTGAGGACTTGATGCTGAACTCTGTCATGCATGATAGTAAACTGAATATCTTTGGGTTTGATGGTTGGACAAGACAACCAATTTCACCTTAGGTCCTGGGAAATGTCAGTTGCCTTTTTATCTAAATTTTCTATATATCTATAGACAAAATATGTAATCGATCAATTGAGAGAACTATTGTCAGATGAAGCTGTAATAAAAGCTTGTAGCTCTGAATTCAGCCACTGAGCAGACTCATGTGTCCCGTCTGTAATGCCACTAACCTCCTGCAGGGGTCGGTGTTGCTCTGAGCCTCGACAGCTGCAGCGTGATCTCAGGACCTCTGCAGCTACTTTGGGACTGACCTGAACGAGATGGAGATAATAAAAAGACAAATTTAAAAAAAACATTTTTATGCTCTCCACTGACACATCTATATATATATCAGCAGTTAAAATAGCAAACTCAGAAGATGATCATTCATTTAACTAAAAAAGATCATGAGACTGAAGGGATGTATATATTGAATATATTGTTTTCAAATACTGAATTAAAGATGCTGGTTAGTATATTTATGAATGTTAACGGCTTTGACAGAATCAAGGAAATATAACTGATTAAATAAATATAAAAAAATGCTGTTACATAGCTCGTTGATGTAAGCTCCACTCTGCACCATGTTGATCCTGGTACTGAGGATTGAGCTCAACATGAGCCTTGTTTCACAGCAGTCTCTGAGGAATTCCAATCACGTTATGTTCACATAAGCAAGGCTTTCGCTGCGATGAGACTGATCGGAGTTGAGACGGCTTAAGGGGCTGGCTGCAAACATCAGATTCCTCCACATTAGCAGCGAGGCACAGGCTGGTGAGTATCACCTTTTTACACTTTTGGTTGACATATTGTACGTTAACAAACGTTAAGTTACATGTTAAGCCATTAAAAACAAGCCTTTTTCATGATATTGATATTTTACTTTTGTTAATATGTGTAATTAATGCATGTTGTTAAACCCAATCAAATGCTAAATGAGTGTCAAGTGGTCACATGGAACAGTGCATTCCTGCTTTCTGAACAATGACACTATTTCTATCCAATCTTTGTGTTTGGGGTTCTAAAGGAACCAAAGAGAAACATGTTGATCATCTAGTACATCAATTGGAAAAATAATTTAACAAAGCATGCATGTGTGCACCTGTTTAGCTGTGTAAAGCTAAAGCCATGCGAAAGTTTATCTGACTGATGAGGGAAAACATTTAAATCCTGTAAAACATTCCTGAACCAGAAGCATATTTGAAAGTGAATCTTTTCACATCACTGTAGGTGGCCTGCGGAGCGAGTTTAGGGTCATGGTGAGTGTGACCACGGTCCTGAAGGCGGTGAGCCTGTTTGTTGCAGAGCTCATCAGCTCCGTCACAGACTGGTTCCAGTCCAAACCAGCATGGGCCAACCTAGAAGTGCTGGAGGAAACAGAGCTGAAGACCACTGGAGGGGGTGAGTCTGAAAACAGAAACAAGCTGAATCTATAATGTTGTAGAAATACAGATTTTGACTATGAAATTCCCTCTCTGTGTTGCTATTTTCCATCGCAGCTCAACAAGGAAACAATGTCTGTGGAAACAAAGAAATAGGGAATCTTGTACGAACAAAATGTTTTAATTTTCTAATTTTGGACTAACTATTTTAACTCTCTGAACGTTTTATAATTAGGATTGATTGACACAAACCGCTGTTGGGAGGTCAAAATCCAACTTTTGGTGTCTGAGATTAGAGTACAACAGCACACAAATCAATCCACAAACTTGTAGTGGGCCCAAACAGTGACTGCATCTTTCATTAGGGACAAGGTAGTAAATGGACTTCTTCAGTTATCCCTCATGAACAAGAGTCAGTGGCATTAGATTCAATAATGCGCCTTCGTCTCTTTCAGTCCATGAGCGACACAGGGCCCAAACTCTGTGGGACAAGACCGGAGCTGTGGTCGTGGTTGTACGACGACCTGGATGATTATTGTGCAGAGAGGTATGAAATCACATGCCTGTACGTGTATCAGTAATAAGAACTCTGTGGTCACTTAACTGGTTTCTTCCATGCTATTGGATTCTCTCTGTCCGTCCCTCTCTAGGAGGCTGCTGAGCTTACCTCTCTGAAGTCCCAGCTGCAGGACCTTGAAGTCCCTCTGTTTGCCGTGGTAAAAGAAAACATTGGCAAGGAGCTGGACTGTTTCAAGAAGTACTTCACTGGGAAGGTCTATGTGGATCAGAAGGTCTGCATTTACATATGGCTTTAAGATATTAAGTGAAACATGTAGGATTACACAATTTAAGACAATAAACTGCCTTCATGTTATTTTCATAGAGAAATTTCTACGGCCCTAAAGAGCGGTGGATGTTTCTCTCCATGTTTCTGCGTATTGGCGTGTGGAGGAACCTTTGGCGGGCCTACAGGAGAGGCTTCAGGGGAAACCTAAGAGGTGAAGGTCTTGTCCTGGGAGGAGTCTTTGTCATTGGGCCCGGAGATCAGGTAGGCAGTCAATTACAGAACAAATATTTTCTGACAGGTGTATCTGGATGTTGTCAGACTGTGTTTTCTCTCCCCCCCCCCCCCCCAGGGTATTCTACTGGAGCACCGCGAGAAGGAGTTTGGGGATAAAGTGAATATGCTGGCAGTACTCAGAACAGCCCGTGAAATGCAAGACCACATTGCCAGATAGACCTCAAATATGTCAATGAATGGACTGTTGGAGATTACATAATAATGGTTGCAGCATGCTTCCATTTATTTGTCTGTATTCTTTAAGCCTAACCCAGGCGTTTTCCTTTAAAACACTGTGCTCTAATCATATTGCATTTGTAAATTGAAATCCTGGTCTCATTCCCCTTTTGCTGATATGTTATGCAGTGTCACAACTTTGTGGTTAACATATGTCACTTTAACTATTTAGTGGCCCACTGTCTGCTGTTCTGGTCCTGGTTGTGTGATGGTCTTCTGTGTGTTTTAATGAAGATTTGTTTCTAAACTCTGCTGAGAGAACAGCTCTGATGCTTGCACACAGATCAAACATTTACCATGACGGTATTGGCATGACATGAGGGAGATTGAACCGTTGGAGTGATTAAACGCATTGTGTGTTTGCCATGTAATAAACCACTTAACCAATAATGCTTACAGAAAGATTATCTGTATATTTAGCTGTCAGTGTATTGTATTTTACCTTGTTTTGGTTCGTGCCAAAGTTCAAATCTTCTTTTCCAGCCATCTTACTCGATTAGTTTGCCTGCTCCCCGGATCGTTTAGTACGCCTGCGCAGACATCTGTTTACAAAACGTCGGTTCAGGGAGGCGCTGCTTGTCGCTTCATTGATTTCGGTGAGTGTTCCCTTATTAAACAACTATTCCGTTATCTTGATATCAAGTCACGGCTTCTGAACAGGTGCACTTGCTTTAGCAACCCATGCTAGCTCCAGGCCCACACTCAATGAACCAACGGCTAATTCCACCGTTAGCTGAGCTAACCTGTAGCCACGACACTGTCGTCACCACTAGCAACAGTAACTTTGTAGGACACTGAACGTATGTATAGATTATGTAACCGTCATGGTTATAACCTCTCAAATACGACAACATATTCTAGTCCTATTGGGTTACAACTATACGTGTAGTCTGTGGAGCCACGAGGTAAAGTCATTGATCACACATTGGTAGTGTGAAGGTCATTATCTGCATTCTTTGCTGTCGTCCTGATTGAATCATATAATAAATTAAGCCAGAACAAACAGGAAATACGGTATCACACAACTACACACATCAGCTGGACTAATAATACACATAACTGCACCTTAATGACGGGTACAAATCAATCTAGGTTTGTTGGACAATGATCATTAAGCCTTGTTCAGCTTTTAATGGACATAAAGTAATGCAAGAACTGGACTGATGGATTGTGAGTCCCATATCCTTTCTGCCAAAACGAGTATTACAACAGCTGGTTAAAAATGTCCCTCTTCAGATATATGTATTATCATACATCTATGATATTATTAGATTATTATAAAAGATGCGTTAACATGTATGTAGCATTTTAATGTTGCTGGGTAGCTAAATCTAGGACACGTGTTTTTTTAGGTAATTATAAATGAAAAATCAGTTTGAAATGGAGGTAATTGTATTTTAGAAGCAGATCATGTTATGTATTAAAAGTCTACATGGTCAAAATAATAGTGGAGAAGAAGAATCTAAAGGAAATACTCAAGTACCTCAAAAAAGTACAGCAGTACAGTTCCTTTTGAACACTAGAACGTGATCATCGTCCAGGCATCTCATTATATACATAACACTCTTTCTCTATTAGATTTGTACCATTGTGTACAAAGTATTGGCTAACATTACATCATGTTCGTACTTGGCAGTACCAGTGCTGACAGCTACTCTCTCTGCTCACTCTTCAGAGCGTTCAGGGAGTCTAGTCTTCTTTGAGTTGCAGGCGTGGCCGCGTGTCTCTCTTGGCTGCCGTTGTACTCATTTCTTCTGCCCTTTGTCCTCCCTGTTCTTAGTGTCAGGACACAAATGTATTTGGGCGAGTTAGCGTTTGAAACTGGATGAGCCTAATCCCAGGAGAATAAGTATTTCGTCGCGTTCTGGAAATGGAGACAAGTTAGTATATGACATTCTTACTTTTTAATCAGTTCACTTTTCTGTAACAGCTGCAAGTGTGTTCATTTTTTAATTCTCAGCTTATTCATTTCTGTGTACAATATTGTGGACTTCATCTTTGTGTTTTCCCTGTATGTGTTGATGTGTTAACCACACGAGAGCTTTGAGTGCTTATAGGAAGTTTGTTTGCAAATGGCGAACTGTCATACCCCAGTGAGATTATTAAGATAAGAATCACACCTTTTATACTTAATGCTTTTATTGTTCTTTCAGTTTCATATTGCTCACTCTTCAGGGTGGGTAATAAATTCCTATTTTAAGCATAGATCAAACTTGGCTAACTGGCTAAACTGTCTGTATAATGTCTTATCTGGGCAGTCTAATCATGAAGAAAGATCCCATAATTTTCTCTCAAGTCTGTAAAATCAAATGCAGCATGGCACAAAGAAAAGACTTGTGTTTCTTTCTTTCAGGGAAATCTTGAGGGTCTTTGTAGTCAGAGGGTCAGTCTTTGTCCACGGACCAGATGCTGGCTCTGTCCAGGTGTTGGACAGGTTTGAGGTGGAGACTGTCCCCGTGCTGCTCTGCCCTCTCTCTGGGGAGCGCTACCACGAGCAGCCGGACCTCCACCGCAGCCAGGCCCCAGTTTCTAAGAACCCAGACTGCTCTGTTTCACCAAAGTGAAGCCAAAGCCAGTCCTGACCCAAACAAGCCTCCTTCAGGCAAGGACACATTTGACTGCCTTCACAGCTCGCTGTTCCCTGACCACAACCCAAACTTTGAGCTCGTTGTTTTAACAGCTGTGACCTGTGCACAGGGTTTCTCTGCTCGAGTGACTCCCGACCTTCATGACACTGAAGTGTTATGAAAGTAGACAAAATAAATGAGTCATTCTATAAGATGATCATTTTTATCTTTCTAGCAATGTAAAATGGTTTGATAAGAGCAATGAATAACCTTTGTGAATTTCACAGGTTCATCCATCGTTCATAGATGAATTGCTTCACTAATTGAAAGAAGCAGTACATAAAACTGTAGCTGAAAGTCGATTAATAGATTAGAATAGACTTTTTCCCAGTATCTTCATAAACAATCGACAGATTAATTGATAATGAAAAAACTGTTAGTTGCCGCCCTACGATTACACTGCAAGATTTCTAACTAAATACAAAGCAAAGCACGACGTTAGCGGTCTCAGAGTGACTCATTTAAAAAAAAAACTAAAAAAAAACAGCTGCAGTCAAATGTAGCGTCTACAAACTGGCAGAAGCCCATCTCCTTAGTAGGTATGTGACCTATCTATTGAGCTTGAGATGAGAGTAATGTGATAAGAGGCTATGCTCGTACACAGAGCAATACCCTTAAACACAAGACCAAATCTGCAAGATGGGTCTTGTTGGTCTCAGCCTTGGAGGTCTGAGGTCTCCTTGTGTAAGAATTTAAAGTGAAAGAAAGCTGCCAAAACTGTATTGTTAAAGCTAAGCATGTTTATTTCATTATGAGCATGTGTGTGAAATAAATGACTCATTTCTCTCCTCATGTTGTTGCCCGTTTGTGCTGCAGTGTTCTCCTCTGTGCTCGGGCTAGAGGGGGGGCTGTCCGGGATGGGGATGTGGTCGTTGGGTCTGGGTGCTGTTGGAGCGGCGCTTGCCGGGATCTTCCTAGCCAATACTGATTTGTGTCTCCCTAAAGCTGCTCAGGTGTCACTGGAGAACCTTGAAGAGGCGGACCTGCGCTCCACCAAAGATGGTAGGTAGCCTTTCTGATTGGCTGTGTAATTCTGTCACCCACCAATAAGCCTGTTAGTCTCAACACCGGTTGTTGTTAAACCCATATGAGAATCAGCCATTTCCAGTTTTCTTTACTGTTGTATATTTGTATGCGTTGTACGTGCACTGAATGAGGTTTTGTGTGGGATTTAGGGCAAAGCTGCTTTCTCAAGTCTGCTGGTATTAGAGATTAGATCACTGTAAAGGTCTTTGTCCAAAGCTGAAGGTAGAGTTACTGTAATATTCCAAAACATTTAGATGTGTCATGTGACCATGAACATTTAGCCTTTTCTCCCGTGTGAAGGCGTCATCTTTTATGTTCCACACAACAGATTGATTCGATTTATGTAGCAGTAAAACCCATGACATTCTTGTGCTTTCTTTTTTTTTAAATTTATTTATTTTTTTTTAAAATCAGACACACGTCCGCCTTGTGTTAGAAACTATTTGTTCTTGTTTTGTCTGCAGGCAACAACGTCATCAAAGCCAAGAGCCTGTGGGACATGAACGGGGCTGTGGTCATGGCCGTACGACGCCCTGGATGATTTTTGTGCAGAGAGGTGATACACATGACTCAGAGTTGAAATGTGTACAGTGTATGGGAGTATTATTTACTCTGAAGGTATCTCTCTCTGTAGGAGGCCTCTGAGCTGTCCTCTCTGAAGCCCGAGCTGGAGAAGCTCGGGGTCCATCTGGTTGCTGTGGTGAAGGAGGATGTCGGCGCAGAGATCGAGGACTTCAGACCGCACTTCGCTGGTGACATCTACTTAGATGAAAAGGTCAGCTGTGGAAGATAACATGATACCAGAGCCACTGTTACTCCTCTGTCTGTCTAAACTACAAAACAGTCTTACTCCTTTTTTTTTTTAAGTGCCGACAAGTACCGACAATGACAACCTGTCCTAACTTGCTTCTTTGCATTTTTGTTGGTCTTCTATGACAGGAGCAGCCAGGAAAACATATTATTTACATTCTGGAGACGCAAGCTATTAAACAATTGATTATCTATTTAAATTGTCGTTAATTATTTCTGTTGATTGACTAATTGTTTCAGCTCTTGTGAGATTAATAATAATAATTTAGGTGTGGATCTGCTCATCAGTGGAGTGTAAATGGCTATTAGAGTGCTGGTTGAATGAGCAATTATTATATATGTTTTAATGATCCTAGAGTGGGTAATAGGCTAACAATCATCAGTCATTGCTGGGAAATGAAAATGACTCACAGCTTGAACTAGATTTTAAGTCGTCCTTCCGCATTACTGTTCTCCTCTCCCAAAAGGCAACTTGAGTTGGCCAATAAGGTTATGTAATTTTGGCTGCTAAAGCAATAGTTGAATAAATCCACAAGGCTGTTTTATTTCTCTTGATTATTGACTGAAACTTAACTGTGATTGTAGAACGTCTTCTACGGGCCGCTGCAGAGAAAGATGGGGGGTCTGGGGTTCCTTCGGCTCGGGGTCTGGCAGAACTTCATACGGGCCTGGAGGTCAGGCTACCAGGGCAACATGAACGGAGAGGGCTTCATCCTGGGCGGAGTGTTTGTCCTCGGAGCAGGAGACCAGGTAAGTGTACCTGGACCACTCGGGGAGAAATCAGTAGAGCTTCATAGAACTGTATCTGAACTGTATGTTGTGTTTGCAGGGGATTCTCCTGGAACACCACGAGAAGGAGTTTGGCAATAAAGTGCAGATTGCTGATGTTTTAGAGGCCGTTAAGAAGATTGTACCAGCAGAATAATTTCAATTTTTCCCCCAAAAACAAATGTTATTAGACAAAAGGTACACCGAGTTTAGATCAAAACATAACTGCAGTTTTAACTTGACATGCTGAGATGTCCATCACTGAAATATGACATGTATGTCTGCACTGTCTAATATCACAACATACCTCTGTCTTTTGCACATTAATTTACCGTTGGTTCAGGACAGAGACAATATTATTTCAGGATTAGTCACCGATTACACCTCTGCAGACACCTAGAAGCTAGTGTCTTTGAGACGGGTACTAAAATCAGGTACTAAGGGACTTAAATGCCATTTAATTTAAGGTCATTTCAAATCTGCCTTTTAGAGAACCACTAAATGTATTGATAAATTATTCTGTGAGCTTGTCTTTCAGTGGTACATTTGTAATAATGTTCCTGTGTATCGTCTTTGTTTGCTTCTCCTGGTCAGGCACCCTGAATGGGCCTCCAACATGGCGAGCCAGTGTGTGTGTGCGGCCTGTGTGTGTGATAATGACAACTTGAATCCAAACTCAACATTGAGAGGAGCAGGTTTGATGCTCAAACACATACAGGTCCAGCCACTGTCGCCATGTTGAGGAGTGTTGGTGCTGCCTGAATGAAGCGTGTGTGTTGTTGTGTGAACCTGTACATATAAATAAAGAAGACCTCATCACCATATCTTCACTGTGTTTCATTTTAAGATTTCATCTGTACGTATATGTTTCTACCAACTCTTATGGATGTTTTTGTATTTCTAGAAATTACTTGACAAACTGACTTGGTCCAGTTTGTGTCTGAACTGTGGAATTATGTATTAAATCCATCTAATGTAATTTTAATTACATATACCCCCTTTTCCTTTTGTTCAATCCATAATCCAGTGTTTTATTAATCCATGCCTGTGAGCTTTCCAGCTGCACTGGACCGCTCATTTTAGTTATACAGTAAAAAAAACTAAAATGAGCAAAAATACCAATTATTTTCCTGGTAAACAAATCTATTATTTAACCCATGAATTTATCAAAGAACTGTGTTTTTCACCCTTTAAGTTAGTTTTCTGGTCCCCAAAAACATTTATAATATAAATACGTTTAATATTGTTGAATTAAGCAGACAGGTTTGAACTTTAATGTAACATATTTTATTCTATTGCTCTGAGTAAAATACATTCCACATCAAGGAAATATATTTAACCACAATACAAAATCGAGGGAGAAAACACTGCACCAACGCGGACAGATCTACAGGTGTAAATTGTATGTACACGACAAAAACATTCATGGAGTGTTACGAATAATGGATTGTCTTTTCATTTGTGCCAGCCATATGCACAAGATTTGATGTTTTCTTAATTTCATGCACAACTAAATTCTTAATTTAGTGGGTTTTCAACCAGGTCGCCAGAATGTGTTATGTGAAGTTCATTATGAGAGTTTATTGAATGTCAATAAAAATCAATGCCAAAAATATGATCTTTAAACTAAACTAAACTGTGTGTTGGGATTTGTTTATACGTCCAATCTGTAAACTGTGTTAATGACGATGCTTTGCTACGTTTTTGAAAAATTTGGTGTGCTTTTGAGAGAAACGGTCCATACGTTAAAGCTGAAACAAAAACATGAAAAGCTACACCCTTCTCCTCAAGCCAATTCATACCCGTCTCCTCTTTGGATAGATCTATTGGTGCGACACGTTACGGTCACAAGCTGAGATACACGTTTACAAATGTATTTAAATGCCGACTCAGACCCTCCAGTTTTGTTCTTGACACTTGTGCGCCATAATTCCAAGAGCAGAAAAACAAAGGACAAAAAAAAAAAGCAGAAGTTAAAGCATCTTGCTTATGAGCAATGAAAACTGCCAAACACACTGAACAGATTATTAGTTAGCAGTAAGTTCAGTCAATGTCATCCAGCACCATGAACAAATACAATCTTCAATATAAACAATCTTCAGAAGCTCATTCTTTAAACAGCAACACAAATCCATCCAGCTCCTCCAGCAGCACAGCAAAGGTTATATAGTGCAATTTCATCCACAGCAGGAAAACACCCCACACACACACACACACACACACACACACACACACACACACACACACGATAACTAGGTCCTAATGATGCAGCCGGGGTACATATCAAATATCAGAATACATTAGTGATGCTGACTCTGAAACACTGTCCTGCAGTGCATGTGATCATGTCTTTGTGTCACAGAGGGGGGCGGGGCAAAGGACTCAAACTGTAGCTGTGGTCCGGGTGTTACATGTTTAAATGAAAATGTGAATGACAATGGTGAACGTTCCAAAAATGATACAAAGACATCCACGTTCTCACACAGAAGTGAGTCGTCGTATATTTGACGTTAGCGTCGCACGTGTTTCTAAAATGATCCGTAGAGCACTTTGGAATTAAACTTCAATTCCAGAATCACATTTAAAACACAATCATTGTGCATTTCTGTACAGAAGTTGATACGTGGGCAGTTGCTACAGTCCCTTAACGCCCACAATCAGTTTACTTTAAACAAATCAACTTCAAATTCCTGAAACACGAACTCGAGTGACTGCAGATGCTCGATGGAGGTGAATGGAAGTTTGAACAATCTTAGTGTTGGGTTACGTTTTCTTTGACCAACATACACAAAACATGACTTTGCACAAACATTGACTCATAGTTGGTACTCTGCGACCGTGTCCACTGGAGGACCGATCCTCTCATCTGAACACTCATTAGCTCTCGAGGTGCGCTCGCTCATTAGCAGCAAACTGTGCTCTCTTCCGCTGCATACGTGATTCACCAACAGAGGCACACCCCTAAAAATCATCATGCATATGTGCTCCATAATATATTGTACATCATATATATGTATTTATATTTAAATATCAAAGAAAAAATAGACTTATTCTTGCATAATCCAGAGATAAATACAGCTGATATTTCCTCACTGATCATCACTAATCATCTAACCACACGTGTTTCAGTAACAATATGAATGAATTTCATCGGAGAAGTTCAAACTGACCACTTTCACAAAGCCACAACAAAGACTTACCCACTGCCCTGCCTAGAAATAAGCATTTAGTATTTTGACTCGCAACATGAGCTACTTTCAAGGGGAACGATGGGACATCAATGGCTCTGATCAGAACCCTGCATGTCCGACTTTATGGACCTGAAATTAGACACAACAGAGTATATTCCTCCACTTGACAACCTCGGAACAAGCACCACCACTAACAACAACAACAACAACAACAACAATCAAATATTTCATTAATATGCCACTTAAGCTAGCGACTGCACTTGTTCATTACGTGATCTCAACAGTACATAATGATGTTGATAGAAAGCACTCTCCGTGTTCACTGATGCGCTCTATGGCTTTGCTTTGGGAGCTTTTGCAGTATAATGTCTACATATTTTCTTTGCCACATTCTACCTAGCACCTAATTACCTGGCCTATGAATATGAAGGGACATAAGTACACTTCAGGGGAGATGAAGCGAGCAAGAAGCTGCAATTTCAACACTTTAGTCAGTGTGTAAGAGCTTAAAATATTACTTTTCAAAAAAGAATATGGCAGTGCTGACTAGCCAGGAATTGTAAAGAGGAAATCTCAATGAAAGGAGGGGGGGGGGGGGGCTCTAGGCAAAACAAAATAATTCAGAAGCCTTAAAAGCACAAGCCTTCATTTGAATCTGGAGTTACAAATAATTAACCAAAGTACCTCAAACTTATGTTAACCTGAATGCAACATGAAATATTTGAGAGTGAAACACAAATTCATGAGTCGCCTCCCTACAGGCAGGTTTGACCAAAGGAAGACAGAAAACACACAACACAATAATAAAAAAACAAAAACAGGAGTCAGTTTCTCTTTTCTAAGGAGTGCCACCTATGTACAGAGCGAACAGGCAGTGCTCTTCAGAGAGAACAGTCAGTGCTCTCCCTTCTCAAAGTGTTTTGTTTTTCCTTCTGTCAACAACAATTAACAACCTAACCCTGTTACACTAGGAGCGGCTCCATGCGGTTAAATAAAACAAAAACAAATGCAGCAACACACAACAATAACGACGACGAAAAACATAATTCAATTCAGTTTTGCCCACAGGACAACAGACGTGTACATAGCATGTGTGTGTGAGTGTATCTTTGTCTTGTGTGCGTGTGGGTGTGCGTGTAGATGTGTTGGCTGGTCCTACAGGCCCTTGTTGAAGTAGACGGTGGTGGTGTTTGGACTTGTCTGTCGTATCCTCTCCTGCAGGTCTGCTTCCAGCCCGCTCACACTCATAGAGCTACAAAGAGATAGTTGAACACGTTTAAAGCGCTGCTGACATGTTGGATAACACTGCATGTACGAGTTTGACCGACTTTTTCCTCCGAGGAGAGCGCGTGTGGCTGTTTGTACCTTTTCTGCGGGAAGAGGGCGCAGCACAGAGGAGTTGCAAACACCAGGCTGAGAACAAGAGATGGAAAGGGTGGTGTTTGACAGTGTCACTGTTTCTTTTGAAAGTACAGACAATAGAGTCTCCATTGTGTGTCAATTACTCACCACAAACCGACGAGCCCCACCTGGACCGGAGCATTTAGAAGTGGGAACCGCTGCACGGACACAAAGTCAAGTTGAACATGTTTGTCTGCTCAATGCATGTGGAACATGTGGAATGCAACAGGGCTCTTTTCAGCCTCACAAAATACAGACCCAGTAAATCCACCGACTAAAAAAACAGTATGAGAGTGATGCATGCAGTCTGCTTACCTTCATGAACGCTTTCTTCTCCAGAGTATTCATTATCACAGGGGGAATGGCTGTAAAGAAAAAATCTAAATAAATCAAGTGAAGTGTTCCGTTTCATGAAAGAGAATCTCTAACTTAAACGTGCTTTAGTATGCGTCTCTCGTGCTATAAACCACGGTACGATTTTAGATCCACATGTCGACATTACCCATTGCTGGCATTGCCATGCCGATCCTTGACACCACCACCTGCACAATGGCCTGCTTGGCAGCATTGGCGGACTCTCCTAACCTGTTTCCATTCTCATCCATCACAGGGATACCGTACTTCAACTCCCTGGAGGAAACAGAAACTAAAGTCATGTAGAGCAGCATCCGTCAAAAGAGCTCCTAAAAGCTGCCGAGTGGACAAAGCAGAGGGATTCGGCTTTTTTACAAGACCTCACCTCTGTCTCATGAAGGGAATGTTGATACAGTTCGCAGCAGCAACGGCAGCAAAGGGGACAAACCGGCTGGCGATCGGCGGGAGACGCTGCAAAGATGCAGAATCAAGAACACGTTCAGACGGCAAAATCTCTGCACAAATGTACGTATAGAGATTTAAATCTTTGCTCTGTATCCGTTTATTCACTTGAACTGCGGGCATTACCGTAGCTAGAGACTTGAGACCCAGGGCAGTGACCACAGCGCCAGTAGTAGCACTGACGTAGGCGACACCAAGTTGACTGCGAAGAGACAGAGCGGATGCATATCACACGTTAATTACCCACTTCCTTTTCAACCTTTGTACACATCATAAATAGATGCAGCACATGACATCTGTGGCTGACAATCAGGTAAACTAAAGTAGAACATTTCAAAGTAGAGTTGCCTCAGTAAGGGTGCAGATTCATGCTATGTTTGGATGTGCAGAGGCAACCCCCCTTACTCTTCATACATGCATGCATTTGAAGCATTTCTGCAGCGTCTGAAGGGTATTTTTTGCGGTACAATGAGAGGAGTATGCAAATGCAAGTTTGGCATGAGGCATAAAACCTACGTATGTCAGCATGAGTGCATGGTTACGTGGGGCTGAACATGCTTAACTGTGGAACGTAATACCGCTGTGAGGAAAGGGGAGAGGACAGCAGCTCCCTCAGCCTCCGTACAGACACTAGTTTAGAGGGAGGACAGGACAGATCTAGAGTGGAAGGGAAGTGAGAAGTCCTCCCTACTTCACGGTCATGGGAGCATCTCCACTGCGGTTGGTGTAGTTGACGACAGCGTTGAAGGACTGGTTAATCCACTGCCAGAACACTACAGCCGGAGTAGTCCTGTCAACGAGAGGAGACAACAACAGTGTGTTTGAGGAAGTGAGATTCCACAGTGTACAGCACAAATTTGATAAAAGTTTGTCATGTAGAGCATACAAGCAAAAATACCCTTCTGTCTCCAGTCCCCACAATAGAGAGAGTGGGTCATTCATTATAATGAGCACACTGCATGTACCATCATTCGTTACTTATTTCACTCTGTAAATACCAAGTATTTCAAAGCCAGAAGTTAAGTTTTGAATAAAGTTGGTAGATAAAGATCGAGACCCATCTGTTAGTGGAGCATTGTGAACCACCAAACCACACGTAGCTAGAGTTCCTGCTGCTATGAAATCACCCGCCATGTTAATCAAGCCACAGGTTTATTTCAGGTTTGTCTCAGATAGTTTGACACTTTACACACACACACACAACACGCTCGATCCATGTTGCTGTTAACCGGAGAAACAAACTGCATTGATACTTTGTCCCTTTAGGACTAAATGGGGTTTGGAAGTAAAACCTTTTTCTCTGGTGTGTTTTAAATCAATCAGCACAGGTTAACCTACAAGTGTTTGCATTTTCTCTCATTTGATACATAATCAGATGTTTTGCCAATTTTTACTATTTTAAAGCCACCATGTGCAGAATTTTAAATGTCATACTTTGGCTACCTCCAGTGGTAGTATGCAAACATGACACTGTGATATCCCGTTGATCACTTGTCTGATCACCAAACCAAATTCCAAATGTAATACTAGTAATAATTCTAATAATGTAAAATATCAATGTTAAACAAATTAACAAGACATCATGAAATAGATATAACATGACACTGAATAATATATTATTTATTCATTTGAGATTAACCACTTCTTAAAACCTGTGAACCTGTAATTTTTACCTGATAAATATTTCAAACTATTAGAATGATTCATTTTTGTTGTTAATTAATTTGTTGTTTCAGCTCAACATCACATGACTTCACTGTCCTCTCAGCTGCCCAATGGCTTACCAGTATTCAGCAGTGAGTGACATTTTTATTCTTTAAGAAGATTTTCACTCTGTGCAGGGATTACAATCTCTATTTTTATGCAGTGTTACATTTAAATCACATGGAAACTATCATATTCAGCACATTTCTGTTTTTCTACTTTCTCCATTCTATTTTGATGAAGCCATTTTCAGGCTGGTGTTTAGAAATACATCGAATCATGTATTGAAACATCTGATGTACCTGTAGAAGGTGAGCATGCAGCCTGTGATGGACATGTTCATCGGCACTTGAGCTGACATCCGGCCAACCACAACCATCTTCTCTCCAGTGTCGGGGTGGAAGGCGGAGTCGTAGATGTACTTGGCTCTCCAGAGCGCATCCTCCGTCAGACCAGGCTTCGCGACCCCGGCACTGAAGGAGTCAAAACAGTGGCATGATGTAGTATTTTCCACATATCTAACAACAGCAGTTGTCTCTCAAAAACATGCATTTCTGTACTCCTACTCTATCCTCTTATCTCCTAACCCCTCTACCTGTAGTCCTCCATGATCCCTCTGGCCTCCTCCAAAGTCTCAGAGGACAGCAGGACGTTCCTGGGGTCCGTGACCATGAAGAAGTGCTTGGCGCGCCCCATAAATGTGCCTTGGTCCCATCTTGGCTCCTTGATGTTTATGTTGAGGGACAGCTCTTCAGACATCCTGGCTTTCTGTAATCAACAGCAGACATGTTAGTTAGAATTCACACTATGTTACGAATCTAGTCTCAAGAATAAAGTCTGGTCTAAAAATCTAAATTATTATTTCAATTGACAAACATCTGATCAAAGAAAAGACATTTGATGGATGCGTCCCCTGTTCTATCGACATGTTTTGGAGGATATCGAGCTACAGTTCAGAGGTCTTCTCCCCCATCACTGAACAGCATACAACCGAGTACAAGTACACACATTTCTGAGCAAATAACTGTAAACAGACAAACTAGCCGACCAGGTTTACATACTATTAGCATGTTCTGACTCTCAATACACGTTGAAACACAAAGGACGCAGTTAGACATTGTATATCTCGCTTTATAAAGAACCATCATTTATGTTAATGATTTACATTACTGATTAATGTCAGAAAATTGGTAAAATAGGATTTCCTAAAGCCTACAGTGACTTCTTGAGATTGTGTTTTGTCAGACAAAGAGTCCAAAACCCAAAAGATACTCAGTTTACGGTCACTTAAGACAACAAACTGCAGTTGTTGGTTGAAAATGAAAAGCAGTTGCCCATTACATTTCTGTTATTCGGTTGTATTAGCTCTTTACCTTGGCTTTGTATATAGTCAGTCAGTGAACAGGAGACATTTCTGTGCGTGACAGAACACTAAACTATTACAGGAATGTTCTGTATGTGATTATTTAAGCACCAGCCCCACAGTGTTCAGACCTTGACAAGATCATGACCATGTTATACCTCTGGTTATCTGCAAACCCAAGAACATAACGTTTCCTCCAGGGCGAGGTAACAGCAGATATGGTGGATTTCAAACGCTCAATATTGTTATCTGATCAAAGAGACAGCGTGACACCCCCCAACACACACACACACACGCACACGCACACACACACACGGTGTTGTAATTTCTGTTCGTTCCTCTCAGCTAGCTTGTTAGCAAGGCAGCTGATAGTACCATTGAAACACACACTGGATAAAATAATACTGAAACAGGACATTAAAAGCTAATACAATCCCCACAACATCAAGTGTTAAGCTAGACCTTTTCACGCCATCAAATCCACTTCACTTCACTCTCTTGGCAAACTAACGCCAGCCAGCCAGCTACCTAGGTAGTTCACCAGCTAACTACTATGCTAGCTAACGCTTTAGTTAACGTCACAAGGATACACGTTGAGGCGCTGTAAACACTGACTTAGTAGAATTGTGCTTCATCATTTCAATTCATTGAAGATGTGAATGCAATCAGCAATCACACGTAATTACCTGGTTGGCTTTCTTTTTCGAAATATATGACCTCTCAATATCACAGTGTGGAGCTATGCTGCCTTCTGGTGCGTTTATAAGTGTCGTAAAACACACTTCACCGCAAATGACAGGGAGGCAAATAAGGAAAGTATACATTATTTTCTGTTGTACCCAACTCAACTTCATTTACCGGTGTGTTCTATACGATATTATAATATAATAATAATAATAATAATAATAATAATAATAATAATAATAATAATAGTAATCATAATAATGATAATAATAGTAATAATAATAATAATATCAGAAGTGGGGTTTAGAAAATCTGAGCTTCGTGGAGGCCTTTGAATGCTGCACCGTGCAGTGACGTAGTGGGGCCGGTGTTTGTCATGGAAGACATGAGTAGTTGGAAACCCGTGGGCGTGGGAGGTAGACAACACATGATTGGTTAAGAAACAGCTGACTTGCTCACGCATGTGTTATCATACTTTAAAGAATTTGTATAAATTGTCAATCGTTCCAGCAAAAGTCATATAAATGTCTAAAATATGACAACAACCTTGAATGATTGTGTTCAACAACGTTTTGTAAAGGTTTAGAAGAACATTTGTAATGTACAGTATGTCACACCCTGCAACTAAGTTGACTGCAATCCTTCCATTCTAGTTGACATTATTAAATCACATTGTATGTGTGTATTCCTCAGTAAAAAAACGTGCTATAAAGTAAGCGAAGTGTGTTGTTTTCTTTCTTTTTTTGTTATGTTTATTTTGGTTGTATTTATAGTATCTCTTTTGAAAACAATTATGATATATATTCATGTCTGTAAATGTGATTGTCCTCGCTCCTTTTGTTCAAGCTATGAAGGCTTTTTGATGTGCATTGATTTTGTTTATAAAGTTGAATAAAATAATGATTATGTCCACCTAAAACATCCTTTATGATTCCTATGAGTCTGTGATTACTTACAATAATCCACCACATCAAAACATGTAGCAAAGCTACTACAAAAAACACATGTTCACGGTCAAGGTTCTGGTTTGGCTACAGTATGTTTAGTGTTTTCATGGATGGATTACTGAATGGGCCCAGAGGGCCCAATGTGTCACAGCCCCCCTGGCCTTCCCCTACAAAATATCAATCAAAGAGACAAGTACCAACCAGGAAGAGGCTCAAAATGAGCACAAAGAAACAGAAAACGACTATAAAAAGATGATTACAAAGAGATGCAAAGATACAAAGACACTCACAATGACAATGACAAGGGATGAAACAACTACAAAACAGACACAAAACAACAACAAAGAAACTACTACAAATAGACTCAAAACCAAAGTGAGATGCATAATAACTAGAAAGAGACACAAAACCACAACAAGAGGCTAAACAACTAAACAATGTGTGTGTTTTATTGGTATGTAGAGGTACGGCCTTTCTTTGCATGTCTGAGCCCTGGGGCGCATTGTCTCATAACCCGTCCATGAGTGTAATTAATATGATTGGTCGAATCTACAGAGATTGGGATCTGATCTGCATAGAAGTTGTGATGTGACACATCTGACCACCGGGTGGGGTTGTTTACCCACCTCACAGTCACAGCGAAGGAAGTCAGGAAGATCCACAGATCACTTTCTCCACACCCACCTCTCTGTAGTTTAACGGGGAAATATGGACTTAATTAACATATTAACAACAAGGTCTGCCTGAGGACAAACTGACAGAGTCTTGAGGCGGTGTTACTGCAATACAAGTGCAATTAGTGTGCTTAATCATCATTAGTCCATCGCTAATGGCTGCACAGCTGCAGAGCCTTATGTAAAAGGCTTACACCTCTTAAGACAATAATTGAGACATTGAATAATTAACAACTGAGTCCGGCACTAATAATCCGGAGGTGTCCGATTATGCGTCAGCGAGGCGGACCAGTGAGCGTCTGTCCGAGCTCGTCCGGCACAACATGGACACAGCAGGTAAGGCTCTCGTTCTTTGTTTACTTTTGTTTAGACGCAATGTCACGATGTGTTTTCACATGCGTTTTTATAACGTTTCACGTTTCAAGGAATTAACAGGAATTTAGACTGAAGCAAGACGCGTTCAAGTTTACCGGAACAATGTCAACAAGTAGTCAAGAACTTTAGTTAGTTAGTTATAGATGATACTTAACCATCAAAAATAGGCCACCTGGTTGTTTTATGTCGTGTCGCTGTCCATGGTGCTAAATGATAGAAAAACACGTGAAGTTCAATGACAACGTCTCTATTGTTGACACAGATATTCTACTTTATTTGTATCCTATTCAAGGTTCTAGGTCATTACTGTATTAAAATGAGTTTGGGTTGCTATTATCCCATCTGGAACTTCTGACATATCATTACTCATCACAGCATATACTCCTCACAACAGATATCCATTTAATTAATCATGACCCGAGGGGAATCACCATGCACCACTGACTTCTCTGCAGACAAGGCACCACCGGCTCTATGGAGATGGATTCAGCGGCTGCAAAGGAAACTAGTGGATTATACCAACTTCTTTCACCTGCAAAGAAAGGTCCACAGTTCAGTCATGGAGCACTACTGTTTCTTTTGTTAAGCTCTATTAATGGTCTGAAACTGGTTTTAATGATGATCAGGGATGTTACCTAGAGCTTTGTAAGTTGCCTGCTACAGTGGGGAACAACTGCACTATTGTATCATCCCCTTTGGACCAGCAAGAGCAAAAAAGAGTCCAATTCCCCACCACATCTGTTCCTCACCTCTGTTGCCTAAATCCCAGGCTGCACCTCTTCCATCCTGACAGTGGACCACAGATATCCTCCTGTCTGGATGACTAAGGGAAGAGTTGCCAGACACATAGCATGGCTCGCTCCTCTCACCCCTCTGGCTGGAGGGAGATGACAAATGGAGGGGGGCGCCCCCACTTAAACCACGGAGGCCAGACGGGGGGTTCCCACAGCACCACGCGCTACATGCAGAAGAAACAGCACCGCCACAGACGCAGGTCCTCCTCACCGATGGGCAGAGTCATTCTCATCAACGCACCTGTTGATGGTGAGCTCACAGTCCTCCGTCACCACTGTAACACACACAGGGCCACTGGCTGCAGAGGCACATTCAAGACTGTTGTTTAGTCAGCACCAATGTAGATTAGAGTTTAGAGAAAGTCAAGGTATTATTAATAATGCAATATACTTTAGATAATAGAAATGAAACGATTAGTCGATTAATTGTTAAGTCAATCAAATGTGATTGTCAATTATTCATTCACTCATCCAAAGTGGTTCTGGTTCCTAAAATGTAAATATTTGCTGTTTTTTTTATTCTCCTATAATAGTAAACTGAATCTTTTAGTTTTGTGACCAAACAAGCAGATAGCTGATTTAACTTTTGGCTCTGGGAACTATTCTCTGACATTTTATTGATGAAACAATTCATGAATGAATTGAAAAAATAATTTGCAAAATTATCAATGATGAAAATTCTTGTTGATCGCAGCCCTATAGATACAGAACACATGGATATCTCAGTGACTCATGGTTGAGAAAGTTCAAACTACTTGGAGGAACATTTAATTAATATTTCTTTGTTTGAGGAATTGGCATGAAGTTGGTCAAGTTGATATGTATTAGATATTAAAGTATTGACAATATATTGATGTTTCAGTTCTCAAGAATTTCTGCAAATGATTTGGTTTTAAATCAGTTTTAGATGACTTTTGAATGACGTTCTGACTTGGTTTTTTTGTGTTGCAGGAGGGGATGACTGTAAAGACATTCACACAGTGACAGTCGACAAGAGTCCAGATGGGTGTCTGGGTTTCAGTGTCCGCGGGGGCTCTGAACATGGACTCGGTATATTTGTCAGCAAGGTGGAAGATGACAGCTCTGCAGGTTATTAGGAAGAGTGTGTGTGTGTGTGTGTGTGTGTGTGTGTGTGTGTGAGTGAGAATATGTTTCTCACGGTGACGGCAAGCTTATTTTTCAGTGAGCGTACATCTGGGCATGTGGTCTTCTGTTTCCATGTGACATTTACTCTTGTGCATCATGCTGAGCTCCACCTGTGTCTGCAGCGCTCGCCGGGCTGACTGTGGGCGATAAGCTGGTGGAGGTGAACGGGGTCAGCCTGGAGAGCATCACCATGAGCAGCGCTGTGAAGGTCCTGACGGGCAACAACAGGCTGCGGATGGTGGTGAGACGGGTGGGCAAGATCCCCGGCATCCGCTACTCCAAGGAGAAGACCACATGGTGAGGCCGAAACAGCTGAGAGGTGCTGCTCAGTTGTGTCAATGTGAATAAGGCTGCCAAAAATGATATCTTACATTGAATCTACAATTAAATATTTACAATTCATAGTTAATTCAACAACTTTACCAAACTGTAACTGAATATTATCACTGTACTTTGCTCTATTGTTATGCAAAGCACAGACTACAACCTTGCTGTTACCACCACTGACCTTTGCATGGCCCTTGTTTTGTGAAGTCTTGTTGCTTGACTGTAGCTCACACTGGTTATCTTTCTTGTCGGATATACTGTATCTTGGTTTCATGTGGCAGCAGTGGATGGATTACCTCCATGACCTTTATGGCTATTTGATTAACCGATACTGACAGGCCTGACTGCAGCGGAGGAAGAGAAAACAGTGTATCTGGATGTTTTCAGGCATGCATATCTGTCATATTTTGCATGTGTCTGTCTGTGTGTGTGTGTGTGTGTGTGTGTGTGTATGTAGGGTGGATCTGATTCACCGGCGGATGGTGGTGGAGGAGAGCGGTCAAACACCGTCAGAGGCCAGTTCAGACAGCGCTCTCCGCAGGATCGTACATCTCTTCACCACCTCAGATGACTACTGTTTGGGCTTCAACATCAGAGGAGGCAAAGAGTTCGGACTAGGAATTTATGTTTCTAAGTATGAACCAAGTGTGGTTTGAAACCAGTTCAGCGAATGCTTGTTTTACTCCTGAAGAGGCCATCGGCATCAGAAAAACAAAATTATTCAGGGTGGTGCAGTGGGTGCATGCAGTGTCCTTGAGCAAAAAGGAGAAAAGGGTGGCAGATAAGAACACAATTTTCCCACAGGAATTAAAAATCAGATAATCTCATTTGCTTTGTTTCGTTTGTTTGTTCTTGTTTTATTGAATCAAAGCAATCAGGAATCAATTAGAATCACCATTACAACACAAGTTAAGAAGCTGCTTTGATTAGTTTGTAGTGTGAACAAAACACATACATTTAGTATATGTAAAATATTCTAAATACTTAGTAGAGTAGAAAATGACGTAAAAACGTTGATTGATATAATAAGTCAATTATGACGTAATACTGTAAGTGCCAACAGTTACATTTAATAGACGTCTAGACGTCTATATATGTTTGTGTCTCAATGCCTTAATGCACTTTCTCTTCAGGTTGGACCCGGGCGGGCTTGCAGAGCAGCATGGCATCAAGATGGGCGATCAAATCCTCGCAGCCAATGGGATCAGCTTTGATGACATCACCCATAGCAATGCAGTAGAGGTCCTGAAGAGCCACACTCATGTCATGTTGACCATCAGGGTGAGAGACAGTTTATATATAAACTTGAGGGGAAATTTAAAAGTCTACAAATCAATAGTTTTTATATTAATAATGAATCTAATGATAGCTTGTAATGACAGTGAATTATCACCCAACTCACCCCCTCAGCTCTATGGCACATTGTAGCCTCTCTAAGCTCATTGTTTTAGTCTGACCTGCAACTTTTGGTTTTGGTTAACTCTCACCGTTCTAATCATCCCTTTTTTTTAAGCTAATAAACTCTTAAAACCCAATGTATAATACATGCTCACCAACAACAGCAGACAGACACTGGTAGTGACTAGCTGGTGAATATCGTCGACCATTAAGCAACTAAAGAGCAAAATAGAAGTCAGTGGAGAAGAAAGCAGAGCTAAAAGGAGAGTGAGCTTACATTTTCTTACAGGTTTCTGTTGTCTGCTGGATCATCAAAAACATTAACCACATCAACAAGGTGACAATATATAAATGTTGTGTTTTCAACTTGTTCCCCTCAAGTGTCCAAAATGCAGGTTTTTGTCTGATTTCAGAACTGTGTCCCACTTGGTCCTTTATACATCTGTGGTTCAGTGTTTGTGAAACATAACAATTGATTGGGTGCTTTAAAGTGCTGTGACATAATAAATGTTACAGCGTGTTAACCACCACCAGCTCTTCTCAGGAGGGGACAGACTGAGGCTGAACAGCAGAGCAGGCAGCTGGCTTACAGCCCTCCAGTTCTTTACGCATGTCTGTGTACGCATGTGTTCAAAGTCGCGCCACTTAACCTGTGTCATTTTTAGATAAAGGAATTGTGTGTGTGTGTTTGTGTGTATGAATGGGCACATGTGTATTGTGCAGTATGTCTGAGTGCTCTCTTAGCTCGCTGACATTGCTGTGTGCTCATTTTACTCCTCTGATCTCAGGTTCCATGTGTGAAAAACAGCCAGGCACGACGTTCATTATTCAAAGGCAGTCAGGGATCAGGTTATAATCAACAGAAAGCTGAAATTTATGTCTTACCTCTGTCCTATATGAGACCCATTTGTGTGATGACAGAGTTACATAATGTGTAAGGTTAATTTAGATACTAAACTGGACAGCCAAGGCTGTAGTTGACAATTGTAGATGCAACCTTGATACATCTGCAGGTCTTCTCTTTGACCTTGACGCCGTGTTGGTGAGACAATCCCTTAAATCAGACTTGACAGGCTGTTGGAAAACAATTCTTAATGCAAAACGGCTCCTTCCTCTAAACCTTTGTGAACTAAATATTAAATGAAATAATAGAGGCTATGTTGTTGTCCTGTAGGTCTGACTCTAACAAACTATTGCTTGACTCATTTTAATGGATGTAAATATCGGTCTGTCTGTTGGACCAACACTCACATAAATATCTCAACTATTGCATGGATTGGTGCAGACATTCATGGTTCCCGGAGGATGAATCCCAATGACTTTGGTGACCCCTGACTTTTCCTTTAGCACCACCATTAAGTCAACATTTGTGATTTTGCATGAAATGTCTCAATTAGCAGATGGATTAGCATGAAATTTGGTACAGACATTCACGTTCCCCTCACGATGAATTGTATAACTTTGGTGATCCACAACTTTTGTCCATTAGTTCATCAATACTTAAGTTTATAAACTAATCTCATCACACCACCACACCTTGGCTGTTTTCTGTGTGCTAATGAGCAAATGACAGCATGTTAAACTAAGATGGTGAACATGGTAACATTAAACTTGATAAACATCTGAATTGTAACGTTGTCATTGTGAGCATGTTAGCATGCTGACATGAGTGTTTAGCTCAAAGCACCGCTGTGCCTAAGAGCATCAGGTGTAGACACGTTTTGAGATATAACAATTTGTAGTTTTATCATAACGGTTTATGTTATGATAAACATTTTGCTGAACATTTCCTGTTTCTGCTCTTCAACAGGAAGCTGGCAGATACCCTGCATACAAGGAGATGGTGGCAGAATATGGCTGGCTCGACAATTGTATGTTAACTATAAATATGATTTTACAAGAGAGAGTTTAAGATGAGTTTTTATAGAGATGATGACTTGAACAGTAGTATGAAAAGAATGACCTACATTAAACTAAGTATTATAGAGCAAAATAATGAAGATGTGACCTTGTGATTTGGAGTTTTTAATCATCATTTCCGTTTGCAAAGTCACTTTGATTCTACTTGGGAATCTTATTTAAAAAAGTGGAACAGGTGCCACATGTATCCTGCTTATACATATTCACAGGAGTCAAATTCCTTGTTTTTCAGTTTGATATTTCTGAACACAGACAGGGATTAATTCAGTGTACTCAAAGGCAGCTCAGTCGTCTGGAACAGAGCACGACCTGACATCTGGGTCAAGATGCAGTCATTTTAGAGTTTCATTAAAAAAAGAAAGAAATAGAATAACTCCGGGTTCATGTTCTGTCTCTCAAAAGTTCAGAGGATTAACAGGACATGAGAGCAGAAGACTCTGATCCAAACAAAGCAGATTGTGTAAAATGACGAAATGAAGCTCACTATGTAACCCTGCAGCTTGTGTCTGTCTGTGTGTTTGTTGTGCTCAGATATAACAATTTAACAGTTTTATTCATATTGCACACACACAATAATATTTTCAAACACACACTAATCACCATTGTTTGTTTTAATTATGGATTGTTTTCTACAGTGGCCAATGGGGGCCTTGCACCATCCTCCCAGGGTTCAGACTCCAACTCCTCTGCCTCCTCGCTGTCCTCCAGCACCCCTCTCAGCTCCCTCAGTGGTCTCTCCCAGGTTCTTTTCCCTCATGTCTTTGGCTCCGAGATGGTAGACGTCGCCATCTCCACGGAGGACTGCTCCCGACGTCAAAGCAGCGCAGAGCGAACTGCTGACACCGCCATGCAGACCGACCCCCAACCCCCAAACCAACCAGACCAGCCCACAACTAATGGGTCGTACTCAGACAGACTGGTCGCCACAGAAACTAGCCGGACTGTAGGTGCCACATTGCTGCTGAAGGACACAGTCATACGAGGGAAAGGGGAAGGCCCGAGGGAGACGGGAGGACCTGGAGAAGGAGGGCAGGGACGTACGAGGACGCTGTCACCTGGGGACCAAGAAGTAGTGAAACACTCACCTAAGACGGCAGCGCTGATGGCCCTGAGCAGACCACGGAAGCCAATCAGACGTTCCCATAGCCACATCACTGTGTCAGGTGAGACCTGCAGGTTCAACGGAATTCTTGCAAAGGAACAAGAATTTTCAGAAAAAAACTGTGCAAAACATGTTTGAGGGCGGCAACTTCAGTTATCAGTCAGGTTGTACTCTGTATTGTGGTTGTTGATTATAGAGGTAGTATCATCGATTTCCAGAAATCAGTCCAATGATCCCTCATCTTTCTATCACTCCAGGAAGTAAACAAGAACATCCAGACTCCACATGGCTGATTTAAGCTCCAGACACAATTTGTCCAAGAGCACAAAGTTCAACGCAGGCTCCTGATTAATTACCGTCCTTTACTCTCAGTTGTTATACCTCTGTGAGAAATGAATAACAACGAGCATATGGAGAATATCTCATCCAAGCCTTGGCGGGGCTGTTGAGTTATTAGCCCTTCCTTTTCAATTCATCCAGCTCATTCATACCTCCAGCAGCCGGCGGGTGCTTGGGTTGAAGCTCAGGGCCGATTCGCCATTTGTTATGTAAGCAGGAGCACTTCGCTGTAGTGCCTTCTAAAGATAGGGCTGTGTTCAGGTTAGGGTGGCTGCAATTCATCAGTATTACTGTGTTACTTTACACAGTGGCAGATTTACTGCAGTGAACAGAGGAGCTGACTGGAAGAGAAATGAACAGTCTGTACTCATAGCAGAGAGAGTTTATCAGCCAATATTTAAGCATGGAGCAGTGCAAATAACTGCAATGAAATTAATGAAGTACGAATGAATTATGTTTTCAACACCAAACACAGAGATGCAGAATGTCCTATTCTGGCTATGGTTCAACACCATTTATGGAAGATTTTCGTATGAATTAGTGGTTGAGTTAAATTACTTGTTTGCATTAATTTACATAATTTTGCAGATGTTAAAATCATTTTGTCTTCTTTTTTCCACCTATAGAAGACAGACAAAAAAAGCAGAGACAACAGAAGGAGAAGAGCTCTGGAGAGGGTAAAACCAGCCTGCAGCGATCTAAAACCTTTGTCAACCTGTTCTTCAAGAAAAGCCGCTCCAAGTCCCCATCTCACCATGCCAACAAAGGTGAGAGCGCAGTCACAGGGCTTTTCTTCTGCTTTCCAGGCACATATTCTGCATTCAACCAAGCAAAATATAGCCTACGGTTTTGACTAATTGTTTCACTTCAGTTATTATATTTAAATCACTGAACAAATTAGAGATATGGGCAGCAATTCAGAGGTCTGGAACCAGGCACAATGCATAGTGGCCTGTTTCGGATCATATTTCTGGCATGTGCGGTGTTCAAGTCCATTGCAGCTGTTCGCTCATTTCTGGAAGTTCATAAGTTAACGTCAGTAGTGATATGGGACGGGAACCGACAAACATCAGATGTAGACGTGAATTCATTTTGCTTTGCAGCATCCTCACTGGGACATTTTGCATGGACATCCCTGGGTTTGTGAGATCTCATGCCATCTGCAGATCTTGTTTATTTTTCATTTTCCCTTTAATTCCTCAGATAAGGAGCGGGGTCGTCCCTTCCAGCTCTTGACCTCCCCGACGGAATCCCGTGCTGGGGTTAAAGACAGCAGCCCGCTGCCCCGACCAGAGACCCTGCAGCACGTGGAGGACATGGCAAAGAAACTACTCAGCCAGGATGAGGTGGCAGCTGTGATGAGACACTGTCGGCGGGTGAGTTCTCCGATCTGAAATTACGAACACCTCAGTGTCATTCTCCTCTGTTAGTTTGTCGAACTACTTTCAGACTTAAGTGTGCAGTATTGTTTCCCGTGTTGCAGAGTGTCCTTTAGTGATAGATCTGTCTGGCAGCGGCTGTGAAAAAAGACGGATTTGGCCTGTCGTTTATGATTAGGATCAAATATCAGCCATCATTTGATCCCCTTGTCTCATTTGGCTCCATCTGACACTCAGCGGCCAATTTCAGGGGATCAGCTCCTTGCAGAAGATATCGAGTCTATTTAGCACAGTACGACTCACCTGTTACTATAATTAAACACCAAAGATTGAAAACAGCAGAGTGCAGTGGTGTTCTTGGAAAAGCAAATATTTAATGTACATGCAACAAATCAGTAACATCATGCAACATATCATATCGATCATAAAAATGTACAGTTGATGATTTTTACACCTCAAGTTAAAGGGAATTTAGTATTACACTTCGGTAAAGTTGGGGGACTCACAATGAACTGACACTCTTCCTCCTAAATGCTTTCTTCTTTCAAACTTAACAGCTTCAGTTTGCAACGCACACTTTCTGTCCTGAGACAATTCTGATGACATCTCTATGACATCATCAGGGTTGTTTTTTCCAAGGTTTGGAAAACTCCCTCCAGAGCCAGAGAGGAAATTATATGGCTGTTTTCACTTGCTGAGTATTACTCCTTGTGACAAGTAAACTGAATGTTAACCCATTTAAAAGTCTGATGGAAATCCTTCTATATACCCAACCACACTAGTTGGTTCTTCTGATTCTTCTCCTCTAATTTGTGTACCAATCTAACTTTTCCCTCAGTTTTTGTCCGACATTGTGATTGAGGATTTAGTGCGCCCCATTTTGGCAATCTTGGACAGGCCAGAGAAACTGCTACTTCTCCGAGAAATAAGGTGAGATACATAGAGTATATGTACAGTATAATTCTGTTTTTATATCTGTACATACTGTGTGTTTGGATATGCATGTAACTGATGCTGATCAATATCTTCTGCAGGATGCTGATACCTACTACTGAGCTGGGTCAGTTCGACAGCATGGTCATGCCCTTTGAGCTGGAGGCGTACGACATCCTCAAAAGTCGCTCTGGTAAGCAGAGGAATGTACTTAACGTCACTTTTCAGATTATTTTTATTCATAGAGCTCAACGTAATTCACGTTCACAATTTCCCTTTGTGCATGAAAGATACAAAAGAAATATATAAATTAGAAAACGCAGCTCAGGTTATGCATAGAAAAGGGATTCATGGAAAACCAGTGATATATCTAGTTTCTTTCTTCTTAGTTCGTTCTCCAGCTCTGCGCTCCCCTCGCAGTGGAACCCCTCGACGTCACCTCATCACCCCAATCCCAGGTACACTCGCTGTATCTCTTCCTTCCTCTCACCCTTTCTCTGTCGAGACCTCACCTCTTTCTTCTGACACCCTCTCCGTCCGCTTGATGTCCTCTAATCCTAGAGTAACACGAGATACACTAGGGGCTTACACCTCTCACCTTTTGTCTCCTTCCCTTCCCGCTCTTATTTTTCCTGCCTCACTTCACTTCTATCCTGACTCCCTTCATATCTGTAGTGTCAAACTGAAACACCACACGCACACGCACGCACGCACGCACGCACGCACGCACGCACGCACGCACGCACGCACGCACGCACACACCTTCCAACTTCATATAAAACACACTTAAACACACACACATTGCCATGCACAAAATATCTCAGGTTTCCTGTGGCTGCGCTGAAGCAGAGGCTTGTGTTACATCTCTGTGGCCAACAGAAAGGACTGAGACGAGCCTGGTTGGCCATTGTGACACTTCAACAATACAGAGATGCTTTTATCCTTTTCTTTATTCAAGAGTCATTGAGACACAATCAATACAGTCTTACTTGAGACTGACTGCAGCCGTCTCACTTTCCAAAATCACAGGTTAGGGGTCATAGGGTCAACGTAATTATTTCAGTTTAGTGCTCTGTCTCACAAAGGATTTGTTTTGCAAAGAAATTATAAATATAAGTTGACATTTCAAAGAGCGTTTAGTGAGTGCTTTTCTAGATCCAAACGGTTGCATTGTGGGTATTGTAGACACCAGGTTTTATAAAAAACGCAATATCTCTGGTTGTGCACTTTTGATCATTTTTGTAACTGTCCATAGTGAGTGTACTGTTAAATCAGTGGAGTAATCTTTTAGCTCATCACTGTGTTTATATGCAGAAGTTCAACAGAAGTTTTAAAATAAACTTTTGCAGGGTTAAAGCTGAATTACAGATGTAACGTTTGTCCAGACTACAGGGGTGGATTCCACCTCCAGCCGGTCCAGGACAAACTGCGGGAGTGTCAGCTGATTGAGGAGTTGGAGAGATTACGTTTGTCCAGCCAACAGTCAGGCCATCTGCCTCCATCTCGTGCCTTCACCCCTCTGCTGGATGTACCTGTGGACAACTATGTCTCTTCCAATGTGCGCTCCCGCTCCCTGAGCCCCCTACCCACCCACAGCTTCCTCCTCAGAGAATCACCTCACAGCTCTCAACGTGGGCGCCAAACCCATCGCTCCTCAAACAGAAGAGAGAACGGGGCGTCGCACTATGACGAGGTCTCCTTGTTGTCAGATGCAGCTCCTGAACGAGGGAGGTCGCCTGTGAGGAACGGGCATGGGAGAGCGCTGAGGGAGTTGAGTCCTGACAGCATAGATGGCAGACGGAGCAGGCAGGAGTGCTACACAGAGGTCAGCGTACATGTGCCTTCACAGCGTCGAGGGAGGACCCCTCTGGATGATGTGTTTGAGGCCCCGAGAGACAAGAGTCCATCCACAGGCAGAGAGAGCAGTCAGCAGCTAAATGGACATTCACAAAATGGTGTGAAAAGAAGAGTCACTCTGCCATCTGAGGAGTATGAAATCAACACTTTGACCATCTCTAAGGCCAAGCAGTCACTGGGTGAGTTCAATACAGAAACATGTGTATTTTCCACTTTGATTCAAGTTTAATCGATTGATTTCAGTGTGTTCAATTTGCTTGCAAGTACATACAGTAAAAACAGCTAAATGACTATTGTAAACTGTCCATTATAATGTTTACACCCTCCCATATCCATTACCTCACCAGTAGAGGTCAGGGTATCACTAAACTGAAGGGAAGAGTTAATGCTCTAATGGTAACTAAAAATGACTAAAGAGAGTATACAGTACACACACACACACACACACACACACACACACACACACACACACACA